CTTTGTCTGCAATGATTAGACATGTTTTTTATTATTGTCATTAGTGATTATCTCAATTTCGGCTAAAAGAATTGACAAAATCCTACACATTGTGCCTTTAAATACTGTAACGACGTAAATGTACTTGGTTACTTTACACCTCTGTCTAAAACCAAAAGTCATAGCGCTGTTATCAATCCAACTGAACATGTTGATGCATGTATTGTTAAAAGTGCACTGTAGCATTTTGATAGCTTATAAACAGATGGTACAAACTGAACATAAAAACAAAGCATTCACACACTTAAAAAAAGAAAACAATAATTCTTTTAACCTAGCCAATCATTTTTATTTGTTTGTCTCCACAGTTACGAGAAGCGACTTTACTAAGTAGTTAGTGGAGTGAAGATGATATTCAATCTGATGGTGACCAAATGTTAAATCGCCACTTCTGCCAAAAAACAAATCCGCACCATCCACTACACCCTCTCTGCCTCCCCCTGCGTCACGCCTGCTCTTTAACGTATCTCATCCGGTTAAAGTTGGGGAGGAGAGCAGCATCGTAGAGAAACAGAGAACCTTCAAACTAACACCGGACTCTGAACACTTTGGACTTTTTCTCAAGAAAGCGGCACATCAGGGTCTTCTGGAACAACACACACACACACACACACACCTGTGTTCTCTATACAGCCTCATCCTATTTCAGTGTGTTGATGGAAAGAGATAGCAGGGTTGTGTGTGGACACCGTGGGTGAACTGTGTGTTTCATGTTGGAGGCAGCCACGGTACGGGTCAGCAGCATCTCACTTTGGCTCCTTTGGGATCTACACGTACCAGCAAACTCGTKTTAGAAACTAAACTCATCCCAGTCCTTAAATACACTTGTCCATAATCCAAAAACACGACGGTACCATTGTACTTCTGTGTAGTATGCCATTCTGTAACAGCAACTGTTTTTGTTTGTTTTTGCGTGTTTACGTCCTCATAGGTGTGTTACTTGAAGAGCGGCTGCTTAGATTACACCACATGGATTATCTTAYGTGTCATGCTTTTTAATTTTTTTTTATTTTCCGTATTGGCCATTGTTATTCAAATTACTTCGGTGGAGGAAGCTCAGACCCGCAAACATCGTCCATTAATCCCTCAGACATACTGAGCTGAATAACCAGTTTCCCATCTCCGTATGTGCTCTTCGTGTGCATTATTTCATGCGTTTTGTTTAAAATGAGCTAAATGGATCAATCAAGAATACTTAATGTTATTGTCTGTGATTTGAATCCTTTTTTAAAAATTTAAACATCTTTTTTTTTTATTAAACCCATTTAGATCTAGGGGCTGTGAATTGAAAATGAAGGGTTTTTAATGTTAGTCTTTTTTTTTTTTAAAAGCCAACCGTGGCTGTATTTATACTCTGCTTCACTTGCAAACAAACTGCCGAGTGTATTTACACGTCTTCTGACACTCTTCTTTTGTAACTTAAGACCAAAACAATTGCAGCAACTTACTTTGTAAGCTTGTCTCTGGTTTGTTCTGTGCTTCATGGTCTAGCATAGATATATTTTTCTTTCTTTCACCAAAGGTTTGCCTTGAAACAGATAAAAGCTGCAAACAGCTCAGTGAAATTGCAATCAATGTCAAGAACTTTCCTGTCTTTTACTTTGCTACTCTTGAGTGTTTTTTTTTTTTACATTACCATGATTATCTTCCCTACATTTATTTTCATTAATTTTCCAAGATGTATTTCCCCTCTGCCATGATCATGTACATTTTGGGGGTGCGTAGAGTTCTGCAAAGGCTTCATTTGACTAACAGAAGGCTTGCAACTGGAGTGAATTGCAAGAAAATGTACATAAAAATATATGGAGATGTGTAAATTCCACTGGTTTGTCTTCAGTTTCTCACAGGTTAACTTATTAGAATGTCTTAATCTGAAACCTTATAGTCCAACCAAATAAGCACAACTCAGATTTTTTCTTTTCACTTGAGTTCCTTTGTATATTTTTATCTTCTCAACAGTTGCTATAATTATGGCAGTTTCAGCAGTACCAAATGTAAAGAAATAAAGTCTGTTTTTTTGTAGATTTATGGGGGAAAACTCAGTATTTAGTAGTTTATTTATAGGGTTTTCAGAAATATCACTTCAAGACATGTTTACAGTTGAACACTCAAAGGAAAGTTTCTTTCACTGTTAAATATGTTTAAAGATGAATAAATACATAATACTGTGTTTTGGCTACTGTCTTTTTGAATAACTGTTGCAGATGGGGTAAAATAAAAGACACCAAATATGTTAAAACATTTTATTAAACATAAAAAGCAAAATTTCATTTCAGCATAAATAAATTAGTATGTCAGTCATAAAGGATTCTGATGTAAAGAAAACTGTAACATATATAATTTTTTCTATCAGCAGAGGGCATTGTTGTGCCGTAACTGAAATATTTTATATTTTGACCATTTCAATCCCAACTTAACATGAGATTTGTTTACTATCTATGTATATTTAAAGATATATTTTCAGTAGTATGTAAGAGTTTAATCCAGTCACAATAATAGCTATTGGAATGTTGGTGTTTTAAAAACGTTTGTACTAATCTGTTCTTTATCACCACGTAGTAAAGTTTTTTCGGCTGTAACAAACTTCTTTAGCTTCTATCAGACATGAAAAATTTACAAATGGTCTCTTGGCTTTTGACAGTCTTGGCACTTGGACTCTCAGGAACATTCACTAAAGAAATTGTAATAAACTTTTTGGCAGCTATAGTCATTTTTTTCATTGTGTGTATATAAAGCTGACATGCACTATCAAACACACTGAAAAATCCGGTCAACTTGCCGCACAAAACAAACACTCGTTTTAGGTCCTCGTTGATAAAAGTTTCTTTATAAGTCTATAGTCTCGCTGCAGATGCTCGAAGAATCGATTTGTCTGCAAACACTGATAAATTCTTCCTGCACAGATCGATCCGCCTCAGCAGACAGGTCCAAGCTCTCCTGTGAGGCAGCTCCCAGAGTTTGGTAGTGCCTCTGCAAGCTGGAGGATGCCGCTTGATGATTGCCCATGCCACCTTCTTGAAGAAGTCCTCCTGAATGTGTTTCTGGGCTCGGGCAGAGGACAAGTGAAGAGCCTCCGAGGGAGGTTCGGTAGAGGGAGCACGAAGATGAACTGCCTCTCCAACGCTCAGGCGATGAACTGGAGGATGAGCACATGGAGGAAGATGCTGGAGCACCTTCAACGCCTTTAGACTGGGCACGGGGGGCTAGGGATTGAGAGGCCATCTCCTGGCACGAGGAGGTACGATAAAAACCAGGATCAGTTGAGAGAGGATCACAAAGGCCTTTGCTGGGAAGCGTCCAGTGGTTGTTTACAGGCATGTCGCTGCAGAGAAAAGGTCTGGAAGGGCTAAATAGGCTCATTGGGAACAAGGCCTCGCTGAAGAGTGCTTCATCTATGCTACGACGGAGGTTGATCGGTGATGGTGGCCGCAGGTCTGTCGTGGAGTCGCTGGTAAACGAGGATCCACCTGATGGCTCTCTGCCTCTGTCCTCCTCTGGTTTTTCTAAACTTCGAATTCCCAAATCCAAGTCCAGGTCTCGGTATGCTAAGGCGCGGTTGCTGTGGTAGAGAAGGTCCAGGCCGTTTAAGCTGCTCCCAAGTCTCTCATCCATCAGAGTGTATAGTGGAAGGCTTTCTGTTTCTCCAAGCCCAACAGTGTCAACAATGGCAAGTTTTTCTTGCTGGTTAAGTGTCCAGTGATACGTCCCAGGCAAGATTGGTGACTTGGATGCCAAAAGTTCAGTCCAGCAACTTCCAGCAGTTGGAAGCTGGTCAGAACAAAAGACTGGTTGTGCAACTACCAAGGCTAAGGTGAGACAAATTCCAAGCTCACACAATCTACAGCTAAACTGAAAAGCCCACCAGGGCCAGGGATGGAAGACCTCCTCTCCACCTGCCACACCCATAGCATTAAGCATTGCATATAACTGTAGTCCTGCACATGCTAAAGAAAACAATGCAGACAGGCAGACTGTAACAGCTGCACGGTTCCAGTCACGGCTCTCAGCAAATGGGCAGCGGTTGTAGCGCTCGGCAGGTGTTGGCGATGTGTTGTTTAGGTGGTAGATGTGCTTCGAGTCTGCACGGACATAGATATAAAAGACAAAATAGGCAGCAGACAGAAATGTTGCCAGTGCCACGAAGGCCCCACGGGAGATGAGTGACAAAAGGAGACACAAGGGAGGCTTTTGCTGGTAGAACTTCAAGAAAGTCACAGGACCAAATGCGGCAGCGAAGTGCAACACAACCAGGCAGGCCAGGAAACACGGTCTCTGGAAGGCCGAATAGGAGAGCTGCATTCTTGAGCGCATGGAGAGGAGAAGGAAAACCAAACCGAAAGCTGCTGTGATGCATGGAAAAGGTGCTTCGTATAGCATGAGCGAGGCCTCTGTGGAGGGTATGCGGTCCTGGTGGCCATAGGCGTCGTACAGGAGAGAGAAAGACCTGGTGCAGCCAGCGGCAAGCAGGAACAAGCTGACTAGAGCGAAGTAACCACATCCCGATGGACAACGCAGCGGCAAGCACAGCAGATTAAGCGCAGAGGCCAATGTTAACATGGCAAAGGCACAGCCGATGCCATAAACGTGGGCCTCCCAGGCCAGGCCCCAGTCTGCCATGGCACTGTTCCAGTCTGTGTACAGGGGCACCAACATGGGCGGAGCTGGGTATAGGCTGTTTGGCTGATTTGTGGCAGTGCTATTTTGCGTAGGCTTGATGCCCGAGGAAGTTGTGGCATCCCAGGTGTAGGAGAAGTTGCAGATGCCAGAGCCTTCTTTATTGCAGTCTGGAAGTAGGGTGCCCTCGCTGATTGGCAGGTTAGACATCCAGTCTTCAGTATACAGGATAGATGGTGATTCAGGGAGACTCTCTGCAGAGAAAGATTATAATTGTGATGAAACTGACTGCATGAAAACCAAAATTATTACAGAGTAAGACATTGACAAAGAGGTAAGAATGTCCCACAACGTATGTATTGAAATGACTCTGAAAAATGCTTGAAAGCRTTTAATAAATATTCAAATGGCTCTGATCCAAGATGCTGGAGTGTTGGTCCTGTAAAGTGCTAATCCTGTGTAAAAGCTCGCAAGACGGCAACTTTAAACTGAACTAGGCCCAGAAAAGCAGGCTTGTGTGTGTGTTTGTGTGTGATCAGCCCACTCAGAACCACAGCTCTTTCCTACATTACGTAAGCCATCTGGTCTCTCCAAGAAAGTTATTTACGATTTTGTTCGACCTGTTTTACCACTACAAAGGAAGTCATTTAGCTTTGAGAATTACGGAGTAACCATGTCCGTACTGCTTGTTCTTGCGTGACATTTACAGAGCAGCTTATTTATCCCAAACATGTTGATGCACTTCAATTACTGCGTGCAAAAACGCTTCACACATCATAATTTCTCACAGATGGGTGAGAGAATATTAGTTTGTCACTCTCCTGCCTCTACATCGCCACACATCGTGTCCTGGTGTTTGTTCTTTTTCATGATGACCATCGAGCTCATGCTGGCTTTTCAAATGTAACTGACAAAAAAAAAAGGAAAACAGAAAAAGCTTCTGATTCGAACTCCCAGGCTCATTAGTCATTTTGCTGCATGCTCATCAGAGACTATTACTCCTCCAAAAGGATCCTGGTGTTATTGTGAACCGGAAAAAAGTGGTACACTGACAGTACAGTTAATCACATGGCATGTGGGTTTAGTGAAGTGTAAAATATATGTATGTTGCAATATATTATAAGTCAATGGCATTTTCAGATAAAAAAAAAGGCTCGGGTTTATGTGAAACAGTGGAAAATAGGTTAAAAGTCATCTAGCAATCCCTGGAAAATACATTCAATCCATTACTGATGTAATGCATAGGTTTAAAAGCCATAAATGTCCAGACATCACCACCACAAAACCCTTAAATCTATGCAAATAAATTTAAAATGTCTAATTTGATTCCAATGCACAACTAAAAAATGGATTTTTTGTGGTTTTGTTCTTTTAAAGTTCTGTTTTTTTTGTCCATTGCTGTTTCTGTTTTTAACACATGGCTTTAAAACAGGGAAACTCCCAGAGGATGTGTTCATTAGTCGTAAACTTGGAGGCTTTTTATTCCAAAAACATGACAATTCTCTTCGACTTATCCAGACGTTTAAGTCTTTTCTGATGCTGCGTGTGTAGATCCAAAAGTGGCTGTATTTTAGCAACCCCAGCTTTTTTTGATGAGATCAAAAACCAATCCTTTTTGGCAGATGTGTGCATGTGTTGTCTGAGCTACGTGTTTGTGCGCTTGCATTTGCTTGCACTGCTGACACTGAAGTAACCGTTTAGTGGGGAAAACTGCTCTTTTTTGCCACAGATCCTCATGAATGCTGGAAAATCTGCTTCTTGCCTTGCAGTACAAGTCTTATCATTTTTTTCTTCTTTTCTAACCTCAGTGTCGCGACGAAAATGTCAAGCTTTACCAAAATATGACCCCACGACATGTTGTTCGTGCCTCTCTTGCTGTGACACAGCAGTTTTATCCCCCAGAGGAGAAAAAAAAAAAAAACGGATGTTTTTGAGTGGTTTTGTTTTTGAGCTGATGCACTGATTTTAATGGAGTCCCAGTTTTATTTAATCATGTTTTGCCCTTCCCTGAAAGCAGCAGCAGGACTGTGGAATGACCATTTAGCTGTCAGAAATTGGTAACACAACATACTAAAAACGAACAGAAAAATACAGTTATGCTACTGTTGCTGCATCATTTATCATAACATTGGTGATGTGGGAAATGGGACTGGTGTGTAAAATAAACAGAGCTGGGAAGCTTTTGAGCGTGCAGGCTGCTGATAAAGCAGGTGGGGTTTAGCGCAGTGTTAGCTCGGTGACTTGTTTGCCCATTTGTTTGCTTTCCAGGGCAGTGACTCGACTGCCCGCGAGTCGGACTGAGTGGAGACGGTGACACGTGTTGAATTAGGGTCATGTTCATGTCAGCTGGTGTCACATCTGATCTGCCGGCTCACTCCAGACGGGGTTTGGGTTGGTACGTGACGGTGGCTGCGGAGCGAGGATGGATAGATGGAGAGAATAACGCTCCACTGCGTGTTGCTCAGGTCATCTGACACATTCCTGTGGGCACAAGCCTCTCCTGCTGAGGACAGTTAACACCTCGGAACCATGAAAAATAATGTGCAGTATCCATTAGGGCTGCCACAAACGATTATTTTTATAATTAATTAATCACTGATTATTTTTTTTCGATTAGTCGACTAATCAGATCATACATTAATTGAATATAAAACATACAGCTTATCGCGCCAGAATGCAGCTGCTATTGTATAACCATGGTTAGATTTTTGCTATATGCTAAAAATAATTGCTGTGGAAGGTAAGTTCTGTTCTACAGATATTGCACAGGTTTCTCTTTCATTTTCTTAAAATGATCCCACACTTTTGAGCTCCGTGTCTGGGTAGCCATGATACCAGAGCCTGTCTGTATGTCTTGTGACGTCCACGGCCTACCCCAGTTACCACTACTGTGCATGTGTGTCAAGGACAGAAAGGCAGATGTGGCAGTGGAAGGTGTCAAAGCAGTTTGGAGAGAAAAACGAAGTAAAGAACAACAACAAAAAAGAAAACGATTAATAGATTATTAAATTAGTCATTGATTATTTTAATAATCGATTAGTCGTCGACTAATCAACTAATCGTGGCAGTCCTAGTATCCGTACATGGGTATGTCTCGAATTTGAGCTCAAAATCTTTAAAACTGACTGAATTATATGTTGTTGTTTTTTTTGTATTTTCTACAGTCAATTGGTTGTTTTTGCCATTTTAAATTAGGTTGGAAAATATAATCAGTTTTAGATGCACATGAATGTTTCATTACGATTTGTCTAGTACTTCATTAAGCACTCAAACGCGCACAAAACATTGTTTCGCTTCATTTTTGTGGCGACTGAAAAGATTGGCTTATTTAAAAAGAAAACCGCTGGTTCACATGGGTGTGTTTTAATTTCTGTCTGTGTTGTTTTAAACCCCTAAAATCTCACTTGAGGTGCTCAATATGGACCAAAGTAATAAAAACAACGCTTTATTTTGCAAGTACAAGGACTGAAAGAAACTTGAGCAGTTTGATTGTCTGGGTTGATTCTGCACCRTGAAACTGGGAGCTGAAGCTGATTGTCTTCATTTTAAATTAGGCTCACCTCTTGAAAAAAAAAAACATTAAACTGGATCACTAAGTGAAGTCAGATTAAAGAGGAGGAGAGGCTCCAAGGAATTGAGAAAATTCATTTTAAAACCATTTATGTGATGCCGAACGTCCCGCTGATAACTCGGTGTGTGTTCAGGAATTTATTTTTAGCTCCCGTCAGAACTTAGGTGCAACCGGCTGATGAGAACAAAGTTCATTTTTCTTCATCAGCTCATGGAAAATTTGACAGGTCTATTTTTGCGAATCACTTCAAATCATTTTCTGAATCTGGGTGAGGTAATGTAGGCTGCATCTGCTCCTGTGAACTGGGCCAACTGTGGATCTTTTAAGAAACATGTCTGACCAGAAAATAAGCTTTGTGATACTGATATGTTCATAAATCACTGATATAAAAAGGGGATTATAAGGTTGAACTACTTTAGGGGGTTTACACAGTGGTGAGAATGACAGCTGGCTTCTACCACAACTAATTTTAGCTAAATATCTGTAAAAAAATTACTGGCATTTTTGTATTGACTATTGTTGATTTGCTGTGGTTTAGAGATAAAAAAGAAAGCCCAATTTAAAACTTCAACTTAATCCTTTTCAATGACCCCCTATTATATTGCAAAAAATTACCTCATTAGACAGCTAATTAAAAAAACAATGTAGAGTGTGTCACAAACAAAACAATTAAAAATGATTTGTTTTATGTAACAATTTGCCGTCTCGTCCCACAAGCCCAATCCAAATTTAATTCAAGTCTCTTTGAACGGATCTTTAAATTGCGAGAGTCTTATTTATTAGTTTTAGTGGCAGCTGCATCTGAGCTGCTTTGTTCTGGAGCCCGTTTTTATTTTATTTGCACTAAATTAGAACATCAGGTTCAGCTTCCTTTTTGGTATCTCTCACATAGATGAAGCAAGAACAAAGAGCCAATTTGGAAACGGGGCAGGACTAGAATTGATCCAGATATCTGACCAACTTCACTGACAGAAATTGCAGCAAGCCTTCATCTTTTTTTTCATTTTTTGTTGAGGTATTTTTATTTTTACTTAGTTATTTTTTCATGTACTTTATAGACCTCTGCATTTCACTACCTTGAGTTTAAAAAAAATCCAAGTATGTGAAGAAGTGACCATCAGAGTCTGAATGTTTAGTTTCTAGATGTTCAGAGACAGGGATGCCGCAGGGATGGGTGTTGGAGCTCCTGAGATTTACATGTTGATGTTTCACAGCAACAGAAGAAATAACAGGAAGTTCATGGCTGCAAAACAGTTTCATCCCTAATCCTTCATTTTAGTTGTTATATCCATAAATTTAACATTTTTTAAAGAAGACATCATGCTTTTATATCCTTCCTTTTCACATTTAAATCATTCAGTTGGGTCTTTATAAAGTGGAACTACAATGTTTTGGTCTGAATTCCTTCTTAGAACTGTAACTTAATTGTTACCTATTTTTCCTCTGGGATCAATAGTTTTTTTTTAAATTGAAATGAATTGAATTATTTTAACTTTACTGGCCCCTCTTTCACCACTTTTCTGATTTTGTTACTGTTCCTTTGAGACACTTCAAGCTCCGCCCAACAGCAAGCCTTCATCTTAAATAGCACCCATATCTCTGCCCAGTAGAAGTTTGGTGGGACTTTTATTGCTTTAAAAGGAACCTGCTTTCATTAGAGCAGGGAGTATTTGTCTGAGGGACAATACAGAGGCATTTTAGTTCAGCGGGTGGGCATCATTCCCCATCTTTTCTTTAAATTTACAGCTTGGATGAGCAGTTTTCCTCTCCCAGTGGAAGCAATTAGCTTCAAGAAACAAAATGCAGGGTCACTGTTCTGGACTTTCTGACATACTTGCTGGTATCGAAACATACGGAGCGATTACGAAAAAAGCGTGCAAAGAGGATATTAAAGAACCTCTTACATGTTTGCTCACCTGTGCTCTGCGTTGTGGATTTGAGCAGCTTGGCGGATGGTGTGGAAACAGTCGGCAGTCTTGCATCCACAACTTTGTTCTCCTTTTCATCCTCTGCGCCTGGCAGCTCTGGGGATAAAACACAGTTTCGCCTCTTGAGTAATCTCAAAATGCCCAGGAATAAAAAATTAGATTACAAAAAACTGCATCTTCAGTGTAATCTGAGCACTGGTCAGCAGACTTGGAGCTCGCCACGGGACTGTTTAACCCTCCCTGTTCTCAATTTAGAGTACATCTGAGACTTAGCTCTGTAAAAAGTGGGAGAACAGAACTCTTAACCCAGTTCTGTCAAAGTCCGGTCTGTCAGCCACTTAGTTGTAGTCAGTCATCCATAGCTCAGAAAACCGGGGCCTCTGTGGTCTAATTACATTGACATCCTTATGTGGATGTGGGTGGGTGTGTACATCCTGGCTGACTGCAAAGCCAGACTTCTTTCTAGTGCGACTGAAGCTGATGAAAAAACAAGAGTCCCAGAAAGACTGCAACAGCTAAAGACAATAATACAAAACTGCATTTTCAAGACATTTCTACTTTTTTTATACGTTTCACAACAGGACAGTAAAAATTTAGGACGTAATGATTCATTTTGCAAYAAATTAGATTATTTGGCAACAGGTCAGTAAGAGAACTGGGTTTAGAAAGTGTTTTAGAAAAACACAATCGCTTAGAAGTAAAAATTGCAGAGGTTCAGAAGTCTGTGAAAAAACTGCATCAAAAAATGTTTTCATTCTGAAATGTTTCCCTARCGAAAAAAGCTGGAATCCATCATTTTAAGACAGTTTCAGTCGTATTTATAATCCMTTATATCGTTTAATTGTACTCCACATTATGCTGTACAGAAAGATGATRTTGCACTCTGTTACATCATTATCTATTCAAACCTGTGCTACTTTCTGAAAATACATGGATGATATTCTTACAAACACACTGAGCTTATTTTAGCTAGGTTAGAAAGATAATAACAGTAACTCTGCAGCTCATTGTGATTTCTGTTGCTTGTGGCTGATTGCATCATGCTTTTGTATTTCAGTCTGAAATCGGAACAAAATGATCCTTATTGCTCTGTCGTGTTTTTATCAGGAAACTCTTGTCTTCAGATCCAATCAGGCTGGGAATAAAACATTGATTTGGGGAGATGACGGTCATATTTAACCTCCCACAGCATTCTCGGTTTGCATTTAAGCGTATATTCTGTGTGAAATCGAAAAAAAGGGCATGCAGTATTTGTGCTACATGCAAAATCTGCGTGCATATTTATTTTCATGATCAATCAGTTACAAATCCAACTCTAGTGATTTATTTTTGAATCATAGACAACATGTGCTTGAAAATGGGGAAAAATAAGTAGGATGAATGAAAAATTGCAATAATGGCTCTGGCCAACCTATATTCCCAGTACTCCTTTCTCTCTCCACCCCCCACTCCTTTTTTTCATCTCTTGCTTCTTGCCCTCTTCTTCATGTTGCCCCTTAAATAGATGATCTGACACAGATTCAAACCATTGCCTTTTTGTTCCTGGTAGCTTCCTCAAGGGCAAATGCTCTCCTGATCCATGAGAAGCTGCCCTGCTTTTGTGGAGAAAATGTTTACTATCTGCGGTAGGGGGCGATTTAAGTCTAGCAATCCTGACAAACTAATAAAGGGGAATTTTATGATAACAAAGGGGCGCGATGCTCATATATTCTAACTATTCTCTACTTGGTTTCTACTATGAGACAGAAAACACACTATTTGATCTCATTTTAATTCAAGTTCAGACTGGCTTCTCACCCACGTTTAACCTTTTTGGTTCTTCAAAGAAAGCTGGAAAAAAAAGTCAAACAGAAGAGGGGGATGGAGGAGTTTAAATGTCAAGAAGCGTGTTCACCTTCCCCAACAGTGAATGGTGAGCAGACGGTCCCTCAGGAGAGAGACAGTGGTTTTGCTGAGTGTGCGCTCAGAATACTGATACACAAACCCCACCTCCACCCGCCGTCCAGCTGAAACCCCTCTGTTTGCCACCACACGGTGCACATCGGAAAACAACAGCAGACACAACAACCGACACGCTCTATGCAGACGAGAGATTCGGGAGAGTCTGAGATCAAAATCTGGATGTGTTGCATTCCAACACAGCTGATGTGGAACGTGGATTAACTATCAGGATATTTTATAATCTGTAAATATGTGAAAGCTGTGACTTCCAATCCATTTGCTAACTGAGAAACAGTTCGTTTTGAACATGAAAAGTCCTGAAGTGTTAAAAACAATGATGCTTGCCGTTACAAACATTTCTTGCTAAAAAAAAAAAAAACATATAGCATCTACAAAAATAGTTCTGTATGGAATGTCAGGTGCACTTCTAAGTTGCATCTAGTGCTTTATGATCCAAACTGTGTTCACATTYTTGGTACAAAGTCAAAATTTTCCTACTGTCAGAGTCTTTTGCCTCAATCTAAGGAGTCTGARTGTCTAGAAGTCTTGTTCATGAGTTAGTAGGAAGTCGTGGGAGATGGAGCAACAAAATAGGGCCTTGTGCTTAATGAGGTTGTTGCTCCGACTTGTCATAGTGAAAAAGGAGCTAAAAGGAAAAGTTCTCAATTTACTGCTCCACCTACATTCCAACTCTCACTATGGTCATAATCTCTGAGATAGGTTGCACCCTGGATGGGATCTATTGCATAAAAACAGACAAGCGTTCACATTTTCACTCTTTATTACTTTCAAAGCAAATCTCCYAGTTAAAATAAAGAAGAACGTTTTTGGAACTTTAAGTCCACTTGAAATGGAAACTAAACTCTTCTTACTCTGAGGTGGACAGAGAGGAAATAAGTCYACCTTACGTGAGTCATTTGACGTTACACTGAACTCTTGGATATCGTCGGCTACATAGGATACTCGGATGCACCCTACATTTTCAGCGTTTTGTCAGAAACGTTTGTCGGCCGCACGAGTACACGCTTACGAATTGAGACAGCCTATGGTGCAGTGACGTAAGCAGCCGACAAAGGTGCCCWATGTGGGCTGCAGCCSCTGAACTGAGACAGAGCCATGTCACTGTTGTTGTTTAAAACTGTATAAGCAATAATAGATATTTGGTGGGATGGCAATGACAGAGTGAAGCTCATCTGTCACGACTGCATCAGATGCATACCAATCCCTGGTGGAGAATAATCAACTCGTGATTTTCTTGTCCGACCTTTCACCCCACATGATGAATGTGTCTGTACTTGGAGGATACAGACTCCTCCTGCAAACTCATTACAGACACCAGGCAGGCTATTGTTATGGGGGGATGGGCAGGRACAAGGTGGAACTGCCTCAATGTCAAATCAGGGACTCCTGAAGCGTACATCGCTCCGGTAGCCATTTTTRTTCCTTAGCTTTTCCCTTTTCATGCAAGTGCTCATTAGATTTYCATCACCTAGTCTTTCCTCCCTGCTCGACTGTAATGACTCACTGGGTAGAAGCAAATTTGCTGCTGAGAATCTCATCATAGTTGGTTAAAGGGGCAGTTAAAGGGATGGGTAGATTTTTAAATGGGATGGGACAAATTACTGCGTGGAGGACATTGTGAAATGGAAAATAAGGATCTAAAGCAGATTATATTAATATGCAACCACCCAGCATTTGAAGGGTAATTTAAATTAACACATTACTCAATGATTTAAGATGTTTTGTACTTGATGTACACGTTGAACRTAAAAAGCCTTAATTGTCTCTAAAATACTCTTTCCCAGTCACAATGTCATTTTTGACTTGCACGTTTGCTTTCAACAGGGTCTAATTTTTATGCAAATTTTGGAAAAAAAAAAGGCCATTGATCAAAGCCACACAGTCTCCTGCCATTTGTCAGACGTCTATTGAACACATGATTGATCACATCCATTGAGTCAGTTTAGTCTCTATTGATTAGAATATTTTTGCTTACCTCCTGCAGTTGTGGAGTTGGGTCCCTGGCTCTGATTTGTGCTTGTTGCAAATTTTTGAACCTGTTCACGATCGATCCTGAGGGTAGAGGGGGGCGTCCCTGGCTGGTTTTTGGGATTCACAGTCATGGTTCCATAGAAGCCTCCGTCCGTATGGCTTTGGGTGGGGGCTGTTTCTGACATTGTGCCCACTGATGACTGATTCGCAACATCAACAGTTGAGTTTGTTGGCTCTGTAACAAATGTAGGATGAGTAACGGGCCTCAGATCACGTGTGCTGGTCAGCTCCACCACTCCTGGGTTTAGTGTTGTCGTTTGCGCTGAAGCCCACGTCAGGGCAGTGGGAACTGTAGTTTCTGGYGGTACTGTTGAATAAACATTCTCTGATGAATATGCCTCTTGATAAACACTTGGTTCATCCGTGAGGTGTTGTGTAGTCACGTCCATGTTGGGTTTTGTTCTTGTCGYGGTTTCCGGTGGTGGGTGGGTATCTGTTGTGTTTTGTCTCGGAGTGTGACTGCTGGTGGGACTGTTGGTGAACAAAGTGTTTCTGATAAAGCTGGTTGTGGGAGAAACAAAAGCAGCATTGTTGATTTTAACTATGCTGSTCTGCGAAGAATCTGGTGTCCCTGTGGGAAGAGATTCGGTTCTTATCTCTGTCAAGCTCGYGAGGAGCCCCTGAGTCAAAGCGGTGGGCGACTGAGTTTCTCCCGAATCGATCCCTTCTCCTGATCCTGTATTGTCTTGGAAGTGATCAGTTAGTTCTGTCAGCCCTTTGGAAGCTGTGCTCGAGGCAGCTGCTTCGTTTTTGTCCTCTGAACTTCCATAAAAAGGGTTGCGAAATGGAAACGAGGGAAAGGACGGAAACTTTGGCAAGGATGGGGTCCACCAATAACTGCTCGGCTTCTTCTCAGATGAAGTTTTGCTCGCCGTAGTTGGCCCCCAGCTGGCCTCTTCGTCCGCCAGAGCCCACCTGTGAAGTAGTAAAAAATACCAGAAGAAGAGAGCTAATGTCTGGAGGAGGCGAAGCATGCTGCCGACAGTGGAGCACGGATTGTCACATGTTGTTCTCTATTCTCCTGCTCCCTGAGGCGGGTGCAGTTGGCTTCTCTGCAGAATGGCCTAGAAGACAAGAACACACAGGACACTTGGTGACACACTTTTCTTCTACTCATGGTGGACAGCTGCATTTGGATTTTCTTGAGAGATTAACATCTCTTTATTTTTGCCTTTTTTCAAACACTTTTGATTGCTGGTTTCTCAGAGACTGACCTGCTTACAAATCAAGTATGGAAACTATGACACTCTTCAAACCTTTCTAAGCAGGCTACAAAAACTAAAGTCAAAAACCACATGTCACAAATAAAGGTCCACCATTCCTTTCATGCAATAGTTTTAAAATGAAATAACATCATCTGGAAAAATTGAGGAGTTTTAGCCCATAATAGCATCTTCTTCTCAATTATCAAACAATGAAAGCACTTATATCCTTATAATCTCCAACAGTGGTCACTTATGTCTGAGAGTTAGGTTTTGGGGGAGGTCAGTAAAGAATGGAAGTCTGGATTTCCATCCTAAGAATGAAGGGGGGCCTCCTATTCTTTCATAAAGCATCAAATGGTTCAAAGTCAGCAGCCTGTTGCCTCAGTGAAAAGACTGGAGCACCGGAGGAATTTCCCCTGCAAGAACAACAACCTGTGTGCTTTCGTTGTTCTTAACTCCGCCTTAAATAACCCACAGCTTTGGATTTAGTCTCTTTAAGTCTCAGATTTATGTGTTCTTTAAAGAAGATGGAGAAAAATATTGTTGTGGGGAGTAAGAAAGAAAAAAACATTACTATTCACAGAAAGTTGCTATCAGATTGAAGCTCTTGCCTGCATCATAGTGGTGTTTATAATGCATAAAATGGCTGTAACACAGTAAATTTTACGGATACTGAGCTCAAATTTGGCGTGGTACTAATTGGGCATCATACCTAACATATTTGCTGACCACTAATAATTTGGTAATAATTAGGTGCACATCCAAAACTGACAAATATTTGGAATCAGCCCAATTTAAGAAATGGATACTCTGTGCACCAATACATACAAATTTTCACAAAATTACTTGATATTGTGCACAAAGTTGGTTACAAGGTTTGACCCAAACAGCTGGAACTCTTAGTTTAAACCTTGGGAATGAAAGTCAGCTGTCAGCATGCAGTCTTTCAACTGTTTTCCACAAGCTCATAAACTGAACTAAAAGACCAAAGAATCGAACTAATCAGAGGTAGGGATTTGACCAGCCTTCTCCTCCTGTGTTAAAGCCTCGAGGGATGGAGCCAGCTTGTAGAGGAAGTCACATTCATTTTAAGTCTGACTAGCATGGGGTTAAACACAGAGCTTCCCACACACTCCCCACTTTTAGCCCTTTGATTGAGCAGCATGAACATCGGTTTCCAAGGAAGTGAGGGCTTTATTTATAGGAACCTGTGTTCGAGCCTGCAGTGACCAACCTGCAAACAGTTCATGCATGCAGAGATATGGTTGTAGATGAATTGGGACCTGACTCTGCACGTTAGCACAGTGTGCTTTTGTTGCCCACGTGTAYTGTTCTGTAGGTGTAAACACCCACACATGGACTCTTCTTGGTTCCTTCACGAGTTTTCATCAACAGTTTCAGACGGCAGTAAACTGGTGGTGAAAGAGAATCGTGGTTTTGAAGTGAGTTGTCATTCCTCCCTAGTGGCTCTTTTGTTGATTGGAAACCTAAAATATGCATGATTTGATCAGCAGAGATTATGTATAATTTATTTTTCCCACAGCATTCTCACATTTCAGCGCAGCAACCCTTTCATGTGGTTAAAGCAGGCTGGTGAGGGATCACTTTCAGTTTAATTCAAATAWACATTACCACTCATGTAATGTTTGGGTTATTTTGGGATTTGGCAACAATGAAAAGTGGCAACAACTAATTGTTTAGCCATTAAAATAGATTAACCTTTGCCAAAGTTGCTGTCAAACAGGAGCTAGATAACATTTCTGTAAGCTATGTAACAAAGAACGAAATTTGAGCTGAGGATTTCTGATGGATCAAATTAACACTTGGGCCCCACCATCAGAGATATAACGGTCATAAAAAAAGTCCAACATTAGGCAACACATAGGTTTTCACTGTTGTATAGGAGCAGAACTTCAGTTTAAGTCTTCCCTTGTTGACGTCTTTTAATTAATTTGTAAATAAAATATTTCTGCGCCGCTACATAGTCGTAAACCCCTCTGTCAAACTAGACTGAAACTGGAAGCTGAAGAGGGGTGGGATGCAAAGCACCCGGGATAAAAATATAGAAAATTCTCTCCTTTTTCTTCAAACTACACAATAGAGTATTGCGTGCTTACACATAATCAATGCTACATCTGTACACACTAAAACAGCAATTTTCTCTTATCTACAATCATCTCTTTTCTGGGGCAGCTTTAGCACATTCATAGAGAGGTCACCTTTCAGACTGAGGATCAAGGATTTGATCCCCGGCCCCTGCAGAGGGCTAAAGTGTTCTTGGGGAAGATACTGAACCCCCAACTGCCTCTTATGCTCTGCCACTCAAATACAATGCAGCTTGGCCATCATTGTGTTTTTTCCAGACTATTTTTAGTAAGTTTACATCTTTTCTGTTTACACAGTAAATATCAGATTTTGCCACTGTAGAAAACTACAGATCTGTGAACCCCAGTAGCTCAATGGTCACGTGGATGTGCTTTATAAAAATAAAAGCTGAAACAACAAAGATGTTGCAATCCCTTGTGATACAGATGCAATAAATTTGGTGTCACAACTCCATTTCCAATTCTAAACATCTAAAGATAATTTATGTGCTAGCTGCACTCTGCCACAGTTAATCTAATGTTCTTTCCATTTCTAGCCACATCAGATCTGAAGGCAGCGGCTGACAGGCAGCAGGGCAACGGGAACAAAAGCATTAAAAAGTGTCTGTGGTGAATTTACAACACCCGGCTACTATTTTTTTTTCTTTTCTGGTGTTTTGTGTCATTGCTCCTGACATACGCAAGGGGTTTGACGTTCTGCCGCACTCAGTGAAGCAAAAGACAAGGACAGTGGAGGAGAAAGACATCAGAGCAGAAACTGCAGCAGTCTCCTTGATGCTCGAGTTCGTTTGTTAGCCTGAATCTGTGTGTTTTCATGAAAAAGAACCCTTCGACTCTTCTCTCAGCTCTATCAGCCATCTTGATCTTAATCTGCCTTCACCTTGCTGTAGCTTATTTCTCCATGGAGATTTCCTTTTCTTGTCTTGATCTGACGTCGAGGAGTCTGCTTCTACGAGCCTCAGCTTGATCACAACGTTAAAGCTTTTTGAAAAGCAAGAAAAAAAGTATTGTGGTAACAAAAAGGGGAATTAGAGATGTCTGTCTCTGCTGATTGACAGAAATGGAGAGGCTCTGCACCCTGGGGGAGCCAGAAATTGAGACAACCGGAGGGCTGCCACCGTAATTACTTTTTAACAAACCCGATGTAAACCCGTCTCTGTATTGGTGGCACAGTCCAGGATAATAGAGCAATTTACCTTCCTGAAAAAAGGCGCCTGTTCAGGGTGATGGTTGTTTTTTTTTTCTGCTCCTATTGAGTGGGTGTGCATATTTACCAGYTGTACTTTTTCATTATTATTTCCATGGTGATGTGTAAGTGCGACTGCGATGTGGGCGATGTGGTCTCATATGTTTCGAAGAGTCGGTGAGTGACTTTCAACCATTTCTGGGTTGAAATGCTCCCAATTCATTACCAAGCCGGCAGGGGTGTATTTTTTTGCGTAAAGTAGCGTAAAAGAAAGGGTGTAATTAACAGAGCCAGCAGGTGGCCGGTTCTTTTAGTTTTCAGAAAGATAAAGTGGAAAAAGGACAATCGAGCCATTTCTCCCAGATGGATTTAAGCTGTTCGTTGCAACCTTTATAAAAACTGCTCAAGAATTAGTCTCATCCAAAACTACATCATCTGAGCTTTGGGGTTTTATTTTAGCATTGCTCCATCGTACTTAGATTAATGAACAAATATTTGAACTGACTCCTTTCGGAACYGAAGGAAGCATTCGTCCTTATTTCTCGTTATTTAACCAGGCAAGTCCCATTGAGATCTCAGATCTCTTTTTCAAGGGAGGCCTGGGCCTGAAGGCAACCTATTGTACATGTATTTGGGGTTGGGGGACCCGGAGAAAACCCACGCGAGCAGGAGGAGAACATGCAAACTCCCCACAGAAAGACCCCAGGTCCGAACTGGAGATCAAACCCGGGACCTTCTTGCTGTGCAGCGTCAGTGCTAACCACTGAACCGTCGTTGTGCCTTGATGATGGAGGACCACCACACAGAACAGGATACCTTGTTCTCGTTAGGGAAACTGTTGGTCCAGCCTTGATTCCTGAAGTTCTTTTAGGCCAATCTAAAATATAGTCACCTCCTTGTGAACCTACCACCTTTGGAGAGAGATGTTGTGGTTGAATGCAATACAAGCTAAATGGCTGGCGAGGGTTGAGCTCTGTGCTGATTCTTGGGAACACACAGAGGTTAGACAATGAAACTGAAACACCTGGTTTTAGACCATAACATCTCTTTCAGACAGCTTCCTCTTGCGYCCACAGTTAATCCTGTTGGATGTGGTTGGTCCTTCTTGGTGGTATGCTGACATTACCCTGGATACTGTGGCTCTTGATACATCACAAAGACTTGCTGTCTTGGTCACAGATGCACCAGCAAGACGTGCACCAACAGTTTGTCCTCTTTTGAACTCTGGTATGTCACCCATAACGTTGTGTTYGTTGCAATATTTTGAGCAAAACTGTGCTCTGACCCTGCTAATTGAACCTTCACACTCTGCTCTTACTGGTGCAATGTGCAAATAATGAAGATTGGCCACCAGGTTGGTCCAATTTAGCCATGAAACCTCCCACACAGAAATGACAGGTGTTTCAGTTTCATTGTTTAACCCCTGTGTATGGAATTATATCCAACAGAGTATAACTCAAAGGGAAAATTAGGAAATTATAGTTGCGAAACCTAAATCTAACCATCTTATTAGTGCTTGAAGTACTAACTGAATATCCAATAAACAGTACCCTTTATACAATATGTATTATTTACTTTATTTGGTTTAACTTTTAACAAGTCCCAGACCTAATTAAATTCTTGTTGCACCATCATCAACCCATGAGTTGTGGCAGATTCACAGATTGGATTAGGCAACCAGCCACAGTCAATTGTCCCTGCGCATTATCGACTATAATGAGAGCTGCTCTCATGTCTAAGAATAGCCGAAGCCATTGTTGCATTTTCAAAAAGGAAGCACTCCAACAGGTGATTTATCTGCTGTCGACTCACCAAACCACACACCGCCCTGAGTCACTATTTACCAACAAGATACTTATGATGTTGCAGTTTCAGAACTTCAGTCAGAACACTCATGATTTACCTGTTTTTTCTCCCCTGAAGTAGCTTTAGTTTCTTTTAAACCCTTCTTTAAACACAAAGCTGGGTTAATGTTGGTGTTAGCCCTGGCTCTGATGGATGCAGAGGTCCTCCTCCTTTAAAAAAAAAAAAAGCAAAGAAGGATGCTCTCGAGCASAGACGTTCCACCGGCTGCCTTCACCGTGACGGCTGAAGCCAAAGACGTTGCGGCTAATCCCACGGATTTTGGGTACCCTTTTGGATTCTGCTGCTGCAAAAATGGGCTGCATGTTTTCTCGCATGGAAAAAAATGGTTGCTCGAACACATACTATTTACATTTTTTCTAAATACCAAAACATATTCATATGTATTTCTCTGACGTAAAATAAGACCAGCTGGATTCTAATGACAAATACAGATGTCAAAGTCACAATGTGGGGTTTAACCATATTACCTCACACTACTCCCATTATCCCCAAAATAAAAGTAACATGATTTTCTCCCATTTTTCTGCTCTTGATAATAAAAAGCGACACTGCTCTCTAGCCTTACATGTTTTCATAATATCAAACATGTTACCTGCAGTGTAATTGCAGCCACTACACGACAACACGCACGCAGGAATCGATGCTGCTGTTCTGAGACCGGCTGACTGAAAATCTCAAGAGTTGAACACAGAAACACAAATGATGGTGTGAGAAAATGTCAGCTGCTTACCTGCAGATGTTGGGAATAAGATGGAGAATCCACAGCCAGCGGTGTGTGTGTGTGTGTCTGAGAGAGAGAGAGAGAGAGAGAGAGAGTGTGTGTGTGCGCTGCAGGCGAGGGAGGTTTGTTGCAAGCCTCTGTGGCTTTGCCTGTGTGGAATAGAGTTCTAGTGTCTCTCCCTCCCACTTGCTCTCTCTCTCTCTCTCTCTCTCTCTCTCTCTCTCTCTCTCTCTCCCTCTGTTTGTGTCCGTCTCTCTCACCCACTGCATCAGTAGTTTGCCATCACAAGGCTTGTGGTCACACCTCACTGAGCAAATTGTTCATTACCAAAGATCAAGCCACAGCCGTGGACGCCCCGGACACACAGCTGGGCAGGCAGCTTATGCAAGCACACAGTCTGAAAATGAAACGCAAAGCCTCTACATGAACACACACTCACACAGGTTCGCCCATCTATATATTTGGGGACATTGTATTGACTTCCATTACATTTGTACAGCCTAACCCTGACCACAAACCCTAAGGCTAACCTCACAGGTACCTACCTGACCCTAAAACTAACCTAAACT